AGTATAAAGGCATGACCGCCAGTAGGAGGTTGTTAGGAGTCTTAACAATTGCATTTTTAGAGTTCCTCAGACGACACATGAATAAGAACTGAACATTTCGAAGAGATGCAGAACAAGAGCGGACACCACAGTAGGCAAACATCTCACTGTGCCGAGGAACCTTCAGCAGCAGCCTCGAGGAGTTGTCATAGGCCACAGTGAGTTTCTGCAAACTGGACTTTTTAAAACTTTTCCAAAGGTGAGCAGTGTACATAGGTGAGCAGTAAAATTTAAATAGAGTTACCTTTACCTCAGGAAAGCACATACTAAACTTACGTAGCAGCATATTTGATTGGCCATATAACTGACACAGCCGCCTGTGCATGTCCTTGTCATCAGAAAGGTCACTGGTGATGTAGTGACCAAGGTATTTCACCTCATCTGAAGACTCAAAAATGTTCCCAGAGAGGAAAAAATCAGAAAAACATAATTTACTGTTATCTTTAGTACGCGCAATAATTACAAGGCTTTTTGCAGCGTTAAATTTGATATTATGATCCAAACCATATTGAGAACACACATTAAGTTGTTGCTAAAGACAAGCACTACAGGGACTGAACAACACCAGAATGTCTGCGTACATGAGGTGATTATATCTGCTGTAACCAACACTGCATCCTGTGGTACAGGAGTTGAGTTGCAGCGACAGGTCATCCATGTACACATTAAACAACAAGGGAGAGAGAATCCCTCCCTGACGAACCCCATTAGTGACTCTGAAGGAGTCAGAAAGAGCTTCCCACCATTTCACCTGCATGGTCTGCTTTGAATACCAAAGAATAAGCAGTCTGATCAGATATCCAGGAACTCCACGCTTTGACAGTTTCGAAAACAATTTCTCATGATCGATTCTGTCAAAAGCCTTAGAGGCATCTAGAAAACATACATACTGTATGTTCCAGAGTGAAAGCAGGTATAGAGACAGAGCAGGTATTGAGACAGAGCAGGTATAGAGACAGAGCAGGTATAGAGACAGAGCAGGTAAAGAGACAGAGCAGGTATAGAGACAGAGCAGGTATAGAGACAGAGAGCATGGTATAGAGACAGAGCAGGTATAAAGACAGAGCAGGTATAGAGACAGAGCAGGTATAGAGACAGAGCAGGTATAGAGACAGAGCAGGTATAGAGACAGAGTAGGTATAGAGACAGAGCAGGTATAGAGACAGAGAGCAGGAATAGAGACAGAGAAGGTATAGAGACAGAGAGCAGGAATAGAGACAGAGAAGGTATAGAGACAGAGCAGGTATAGAGACAGAGCAGGTATAGAGACAGAGCAGGTATAGAGACAGAGAGCAGGAATAGAGACAGAGAGCAGGAATAGAGACAGAGAAGGTATAGAGACAGAGATCAGGTATAGAGACAGAGCAGGTATAGAGACAGAGTAGGTATAGAGACAGAGCAGGTATAGAGACAGAGCAGGTATAGAGACAGAGCAGGTATAGAGACAGAGCAGGTATAGATAGAGAGCAGGTATAGAGACAGAGCAGGTATAGAGACAGAGAGCAGGTATAGAGACAGAGCAGGTATAGAGACAGAGAGCAGGTATAGAGACAGAGCAGGTATAGAGACAGAGAGCAGGAATAGAGACAGAGCAGGTATAGAGACAGAGAGCAGGTATAGAGACAGAGCAGGAATAGAGACAGAGAGCAGGAATAGAGACAGAGAAGGTATAGAGACAGAGCAGGTATAGAGACAGAGTAGGTATAGAGACAGAGCAGGTATAGAGACAGAGTAGGTATAGAGACAGAGCAGGTATAGAGACAGAGAGCAGGTATAGAGACAGAGCAGGTATAGAGACAGAGCAGGTATAGAGACAGAGAGCAGGTAAAGACAGAGAGCAGGTATAGAGACAGAGCAGGTATAGAGACAGAGTAGGTATAGAGACAGAGCAGGTATAGAGACAGAGAGCAGGAATAGAGACAGAGAAGGTATAGAGACAGAGCAGGTATAGAGACAGAGCAGGTATAGAGACAGAGTAGGTATAGAGACAGAGTAGGTATAGAGACAGAGCAGGTATAGAGACAGAGCAGGTATAGAGACAGAGCAGGTATAGAGACAGAGAGCAGGTATAGAGACAGAGAGCAGGTATAGAGACAGAGCAGGTATAGAGACAGAGAGCAGGTATAGAGACAGAGAGCAGGTATAGAGACAGAGCAGGTATAGAGACAGAGCAGGTATAGAGACAGAGCAGGTATAGAGACAGAGAGCAGGTATAGAGACAGAGCAGGTATAGACAGAGAGCAGGTATAGAGACAGAGCAGGTATAGAGACAGAGTAGGTATAGAGACAGAGCAGGTATAGAGACAGAGCAGGTATAGAGACAGAGCAGGTATAGAGACAGAGCAGGTATAGAGACAGAGAGCAGGTATAGAGACAGAGCAGGTATAGACAGAGAGCAGGTATAGAGACAGAGCAGTAGTAGAGACAGAGCAGGTATAGAGACAGAGCAGGTATAGAAGAGCAGTAAGAGAGCAGAGAGCAGGTATAGAGACAGAGCAGGTAAGAGAAGAGAGCAGGTATAGAGACAGAGCAGGTATAGAGACAGAGAGCAGAGCAGGTATAAAGAGACAGAGCAGGTATAGAGACAGAGCAGGTGTAGAGACAGAGCAGGTATAGAGACAGAGAGCATGGTATAGAGACAGAGCAGGTATAGAGACAGAGCAGGTATAGAGACAGAGCAGGTATAGAGACAGAGCAGGTATAGAGACAGAGAGCAGGTATAGAGACAGAGCAGGTATAGACAGAGAGCAGGTATAGAGACAGAGCAGGTATAGAGACAGAGAGCAGGTATAGAGACAGAGCAGGTATAGAGACAGAGCAGGTACACTATAACCCCGGATAGTGGGCAAAACTACTGTTTCTTAAGGAAACTCGTTCCCTCAATAAAGATTAGTTTTATAAATACATAAACATAACAATATATGTTCATTAAACAGAGTCTTTACTAACAGTCATGAGCTCACTAGACTAACTCATAAGTTGTTTGTACTAATCCGTTTTAGTTTAATAAATACCATGAATATAATGATACAAGTTCATTCAACAGTTATATACTGGGAATGAACCCAGAAGATCCTGGGTTCGAATCCCGGTTGGACCAGGGCCTTTCTGAGTGGAGTTTGCATGTTCTCCCCGTGTCTGCGTAGGTTTCCTCCGGGTGCGCCGGTTTCCCCTACCACTAAAAATATGTACAATAGGTCTGGCATGTGCCTCCTGTACTGGCACCCCAACTCCCAAAAAAAAAAAAAATTGTAAACCGCTTTGAGACTCCGATGTGCAGTGAAAAGGCGGTATATAAATAAAGATTACTACTTACTACTACTATACTAGTCTTAAGGTCCTGACCTCTATAACCCTCAGATTGAGCAACAATAATATATTCAACTCAATTAGAGCTAAGTTTCAGTCAAGGATTGCATGGGAACAAAGTGACCTTTAAATAATACTTCAACACTCAAAAAACGACCCAGGCAGTATATCTGTACTTTGGCTTGGTCCTGTCGATTACGGTTGGTAAATATAAATACAATGATTTATTTGGTCACATTAGTTTATTCAAAATGCTGCTCAAGTATTTTGCTTTAGGACTTTCTCCATATTCAATCTCAAAATTAATGCTCAAATGTAGAATTTTTCAGAAGTTTGTTTTCCTCTGCAATGCATCCTGGGTAGCGTCACTGCTTCGCCCAATAAAATAGGATAGGAAGTATTCACCCTCACAGTCTCAGGTTAGAAGACCTAGCACAGCCACATTCTCCAACAAGCCACAAACAACAAACTATTTGTATTTTGATTGTCATGGTCAAAGAAGATACATTTTAAAACATTTACCTGTATAGAGATTTTAGTGTTTAGCCATCCTTTAAGTAATACATTTTTTTTTTTTAAATCTGATTTTTTGTCATTCCGTTTCTAACTAATCAGCATATCCTTTGAATCAGAGGGTTGTCAGAGAATGAATTAAAGACAGGCCCAAGGGTTACGTTTGACAAAAGGCTGGGAACCACTGCATTAGAGAACAAAAATAAAAATACTTTTGCTTGTGAGCTGTGACCAACAGAATACAGGCTTTTCAGAGCAACTTGGAAAAAATAAGTGCATTTTTTAATCTGGCAACATCAGAACATAACTGTCGGTGACGGTGCGTGATCTGTAGAGTGAGTGATGTCATGACGTAGGCCAAATGTGGAAAATAGACCTCGCCCTTCTGACCAGCGTCATGCCAAAGTACAAACAGCTCGTAAAGATTAGTAGCCACAACTATTTTGACAAAAACATATGAGAGTAAGCAATGACTACTAAACAGTTCACAAGATTACAAGATCCGGGTTTACAGTGTATAGAGACAGAGAGCAGGTATAGCGACAGAGCAGGTATAGAAACAGAGAGCAGGTATAGAGACAGAGAGCAGGTATAGAGACAGAGCAGGTATAGAGACAGAGCAGGTATAGAGACAGAGCAGGTATAGAGACAGAGAGAAGGTATAGAGACAGAGCAGGTATAGAGACAGAGCAGGTATAGAGACAGAGAGAAGGTATAGAGACAGAGCAGGTATAGAGACAGAGCAGGTATAGAGACAGAGCAGGTATAGAGACAGAGCAGGTATAGAGACAGAGCAGGTATAGAGACAGAGGGGCCAGAACAGTACAGTACACTCGCAGCAAAGAGCATGAATAATGGATATGGATGAACTTACTTTTTGACTTACTGTTAAATGTCAAGTCAAACATTGTGTGGGTATTTTTTCAATGAGTTAAATTTTCTTCAGAAAGAGAGGTTTTTCTCTCCTTTTCAGACCAAAATTGTAAATAACCAGAGTTGTTTCTTGATTAGGCATTAGGCTTGGTTCGTAGATAGATTGTGGATAGATCTCATGCCCAGCGTTAAGTATTCAGCGAGACTGAAGTGGCACCTCACATGTTGCTAAACCTGTGATTGAAGTATTCTCTTGTTGTCCGCAGGTACAAGCGCGTGGTAACCCCTCGCAGAGCCGGACTGGCCGTGGTGCTCTGTTGGACCGTCGCCTTCATCGTCGGCTTGACTCCGATGTTGGGCTGGAACAACCTGTGGCGTCTGCAGCAGAACTCCTCCAACATATCATCAGACATGATCATCACCTGTCAGTTTGAAACCGTCATTAGCATGAACTACATGGTGTACTTCAACTTCTTTGGCTGGGTTCTGCCGCCGCTGGTTCTCATGCTGCTCATCTATGCAGAGATCTTCTACATGATTCACAAACAGCTCAACAATAAGAAAATCAACACGAGTCACGCTGACCCTAACAAGTATTACGACAAAGAGTTAAACCTCGCTAAATCTTTGGCACTTGTTCTATTTCTGTTTGCCGTCAGCTGGCTGCCCTTACACATCATCAACTGCATCACCCTCTTCTGCCCTGAGTGCAACAAACCAATCGCTTTGCTCTATGTCGCCATCTTTCTTACTCACGGAAACTCCGCCGTCAACCCCATTGTATATGCTTTCCGGATCAAAAAGTTTCGCACAGCGTTTCAGAAAATTCTGCAGCGATATTTTTGTTGCAAGAACCTTCCCACTTTAGAAATCCAGCCCAGTGACAGAAAAGATATGCCACAGTCGCCTCCCTCCATGCAGAAACCCATGCTCAAGTTGGAGAGTCCCCCTCAGAACGGGCAGCGAGATAAAGGGAATCAAGAAGCACAAGAGCCCAAAGAGCAAGCCCTGGAGCAAAACACTGTATAGGCCTCTATGACCCAGAGGCTAACTACGTCTGGTTGGTGATGTTTTGATCTCATTTTCACAATGAGGGTGTCAAAATGGCTGCTAATGGAAACTTCAAAATACTCAGGAGCAATGGATTTTCTCCAGAAATGGCCAGTATTAGGAATTTGTTTTACAATTTCATTATCTACTGTGCCCAGATCTTAGTAAAAGACTCGTTATCAACTTAAGTCACGTGCAGTGTAGCGTGAAGTTGTTGTGGATGGCCATAGACATTTTTGCTGCAAATGTTGAAGATCTTACCAAGTTTGGAATGGACTGAATGTAATGATTATGTAAATAGACTTTTCCACATGGCTTTTTCAGGGTCTTATTGCACAACACTAAGACAAAAATATCTAGTAGGAGGACAGAAGGAAAGGACTAATCCGGTCACCCCAATGAAGCAGATAATTGTCAGAGTTGGATCCATTAAATGTAGAAGATGGACAGGGATAAGGATGGAGGCAGCTGGAGGCTGTAGCGGCTTTAGTGCTTACAGGAGAGTGCGTGTTGGAGCTTCACGCCTGCAGGATGACAGCTCCTCATGGGAAATAGAATAGCTGCACTTATAAGGATCTGGATCTACCTCCATAGTGCCAGCTGGCAGTGGGAACGTGCTCTATTCGGATTTGAGGGAGTGGAACCAATATGGCTGCCAAATCTTGTGAAGGGGAAGTTGAAAAAGTCACTGGTGGTTGATTTGAGTTTACACGAACAATGATTTGGACACAAAAAAACATTATACATCGCAACACACACTTCTTTTAACATGTGGTTTGGGCTGGATTTATAAATGTGACAGTATAGGGCGCTTGATAACTGAAGTCTCACTGGTCTCACCATCTCACTATGATCAATGAAGAATATATTTCAGCAGTGCCATGGAGACAATGCTCATCTCTATCTTATTTATATGAAAGGACGTGGTGCTCTACACATATTACATTTTACTAGGAAACTGTTTAGACCACTTTGATTTTATATTCATCATTTTGACTGGTCTATTTGTGAAAGCCCACAGAGGACAATATTTTTTAGCATAATATACTATAATATATTACTTGTGAGATCTCCATTTTGCATTTTGCCATGTAGGGTGTAGATGTAGTCATGTAGGGCTATTAAATGAGAATGTACATTACTTTTGGTTTGTCTCTTGTGAGAAGTATGTTTACAATTCATAATCTCCTAAGTAAAAGACAATCTATTTCTCTGTTTATTTGACTTAAACCGACTTGTGGCAGGTACGGACAGGGATTGCGTAATGCTGTATGAAACCTAAATCTAAACCTAAACTGCAGTTACGGGCTGTATTTGCTGTTTTCAGATGGTACCACGGTATGAATTGAGATCAAAACAATTCTTGGAAAAATAAATGTATTATCATTATGATACTGTAACAATGTGCTTTTTACTGTACATGTAATGCTATATAAAATTGAATATAGTTTTACATGCTGAAATCTCTTTGTTGAGTTTATTTTGATGAAGTCCGGACCTCACATGCCAACAGCTCTTATCTGTTGTTTTCCATGACAGCAGATAAGAGTCTTGTTACTTCCGAGTTCAAAGCTGTGGCAACTTAAACATATCCTAACTTTTGTTAAACTTGTGTTTTTTGTTTAATAAAATAGAACATTTTGTTTGACAGAGAAGAGTTGGGAGTTTGTTAAGTTAGAACAGAATGCAGGACCATTCTTTTGTTTAGCTTTATCCCATGGCCTTGTGCAGTGTTCTTACATAGTCACCATAGTCTTCTTTGCTCTTGTATCTAAACATGCACACACAACATCACAAATGCCAACGTAAAATATATCTGCAATTGGTTTATTATCCTCCTTCTTGTTCTTATGCTCATCATCACATTGTGTCATGGCAGCTTGCTTTCGCTTGTGGAGCTTGGCTGGAAATGTCCCTTTGTCATTCTTCTGCACATGCTCAAATTAACTCCACACTTTTTCAGATTTCATCTTCCCACGTGAAAGGACAAAGGTTCATGGTTTATGGACCGCTCGTGCCGCAGCAGAGGAGGCAGCTCAGGAGAATGAATGGAGTCCCATCAGAAAAACAAATACACTGTAGGTGCACATTAACGTTAGAGAATTGCGTCTGAACGTTGATAAATTGATGCTGGAACACAAACTGGTAGTACACACTTAGTTCTTCAGACAGTACGTTATAAGTCAAAGCAAAGAAACATATATTAACCCAATGTGTACTCTATAAAAACTGACACGTGGTTTAATGTTTTATGCCGTGACTATTATAGAATCAGCTTTCGACAGCATATTCTTCCACAACGAATGCATTTCCCGGTTGTATTTTTACTTTGATCAAAAAGTTGAAGGCTAAAGGAACCTAGAATCAATCAATTAATATATTCCTTAAACAAAAAATGTATTAAAATGCGTGAAAATAGAGCACAAAAATGTGAACAATATTGAATTAGAATGAAATTGAGCAATAGACAGGAGCAATATGGTTCAAATGTAATAATTTATAACTCTTACCTTGTTGCTCTGCTAACGCGTTGCTCACTTAACCCTAATTGCTCCTTGTATTTCACACCGGTTGGATTCTATCTGTGGTCTAAGCCTCTGCGAGCTGCTTCGTGGGTTCAGTGGATTCCTCATTACCCCAGTGCAATAATGCAGCTACTGCTCTCCAGATAACACTGAGGCCTCACTGTATACCTGGCCCATTTCTCTTTGCAGTCAGGTCTGTTACAGTTCTTCTAAGGACTTAAATCCAAGTGAAGCACATTCATTTCCCTCCCAGAGTCTACATCACTGCATTGTTCAATAAGATTGTCTGCACCTTTCAGTACGTCCATCTCATTATAACAACTAAATAATTGGCAACAATAAAAGATTAAGAGTAAATTTGATTGTAATGGCACGAATAACTTGGAACTCATGTTATGTTTGGAAGAGATAGATTATAGGAGTGGACATGATTTGTTTGGTAAAACATTTTGTACTAACTCACAATTTGTAACTATAGGTACATTGGCATTGATCACGGTCATATGATGCTCAGTAGACATCGTTTTGTAAATCTACAAATGGATGTGACCACAGGGGCTATTATTACACATTTTCCCGGCAGAGATGCTGCAGACAAGGATTAAATATCAGGTGTGCACAAAGTGAGATAAGAAGTACAAATACTGTAGGTGGAAAAAAATAGTTGAGTTGACCTTTCTTTGCTGCGACCTATTGCCCTTGTGCCTCTTGACAGCGTTAACAATAGATCCTCAGGAAAAAGCTCAAGTCGTACAAATGCAGACTGAAAAGTGCACCCAAAGCAGGGCAAACAATAAGCCAGAACTTACTTTCACTGATGGTGAAATGTACTTTTTACTTTATAATTTACTCATATGTAATCAAACTGAAGAAAATTATACAATAACATATGTTCTTCTGCCTCGTGTGCTTAGTGATCTAGCAAGAATCCTACATCACATACTGTTCATTTTGTACCAAATAATGAGGCATCAGAAATCTGGGAATAGACTAAAGGCTGCATCTCGCAGCCAATGCAGTGTAAAAATGTGTCCCAAATCTAAATGCAAATGCAGCCTCAGGAATAAAATATAAACAAGAAGAAAAAGCATGTTTTGCTGTTGTTGATTCAAAGGAAAATCTCTCTTTAGATGCTGTTGTTGTTGTTGCTGCAGAAGATGCTGCTGGGCGGTAAAGCCTGACCTCTATATGTGCCTCTTAATGCACCTGTGTGAGGCTTGTGCGCTTTCACCTTGTTTCAATTCAATCTCTGCCTCACTTTTGCAGCTCTCAGCAGCTGCAGAGTCCAGCGCTCAAAGGCTCTTTGGCTGTGGGAGAGATGTTTCCTCTGTTGTGCAGAGGAAACATGCATGATATTTGTGCCTCACAGAAAGGCTTCTTTCATGAAATATGGAAGAGCGATTTGATCTACCTGAGCTCTGATCAGAGGTCATGAATAAGCAACCAGGTTGTTGCTCCGAGTGCAGAAGTACACGCCTCCGGTGTACATACAGCAACAACACATGCAGCTCTGGATTGCCTTTTTAGAACAATTGTATAAGATTCAGCAATCATAGCATTTCACGAAATGCTTTTGACAATGACAATTAAATGCTATTAAAGATAAGATAAGATAAGACAAAACTTTTATTGATCTCACACAGGAGAAATGTACATGTCACATCTGGCATGGATTGAATCACTCAAGATTGTGCAAAGGAAAGAAATGTGCAAACAAGTTAAATGCAGGATATATTTAGCACTTAGCTTAAACTGGAGGCTTAAACTGGAAGCTTGTACCTGTCTGCACTGGGGGAAACCACCTGGTTTCTTATTCAAATTGTTCTCAAGGAAATTATTATGATCATTATCTCAAATATAAAATATTGTTTTCCTTAATTAATTATGTTGTTAAAGCTAAAGTGGACGCTGGTAGGTAGAAGACCTTGAGACCACTCTTGAAAAATTCCCCTGCCTACTTCCACTCATAAGCTTTGTAAAATAAATAAGCATCCCTGAGACTACATTTAAGTGCCACAAATAAAACAAACTCATTTCCAAACAATTAATTATTCACCAAACATCAATATTTTATCTGCTGCTCCTATCAGATCAGCGGCTGGGGAGGTAAACATAGACCCCTGTGTACTCTTGTCAGATGTTGGGAGGAGTGACTGTGTGAACCCACATCCACAAGAGGAGGATATAAAAATCTCCATTAAATTTAATCTGGAAGACGACAGGTTTTATGAGGCAGAGATGGCATTGTGCTGCGTTAGTGCATTATTGGCTTCCTGGGGAATGTCACAGATTTCCACCATATTCTGTGCCGCTGTTAGGGCTTGATAAAGCTCTTCGCTCCTGGCTGTGATTCTCTCAACCTCAGCGCTTTGCTTCACATTCTAGGACTATGATACAGTGCCCCCTAATGGCCAAAAGAACCTTTCTGTTTACGATCCTAAACTCAAAACTGTT